TGATGAGGAAAATACAAGTGGGCGAGGATCAATTAAGATTACTAGGGGATCTGGACAAACTACAAGTATGGTCCGACAAATAGCTCCTGGAGTTTAACCACAATAAGTGTAAGGTCATGAAGATTTGGGAAGGACAGAGAAGACCGCAGACGGAGTACAGGTTAGGAAACCAACAGCTGCAAACGTCAGTTAATGAAAAGGATCTTGGGGTAAGCATTACAACGAACATGTCCCCTGAGGCACACATCAATCAAATAACTGCTGCAGCATATGGGAGATTGGCAAACCTGAGATTGGCGCTTAGACATCTGAGTAAGAAGTCATTCACGACATTGTACACAGTGTACGTAAGGCCTATACTGGAATATGAAGCGCCAGTATGGAACCCTCACTTAGTCAAACACATCACGAAATTGGAGAAAGTGCAAAAATTTGCAACACGATTAGTCCCGGAACTGAGGGGTATATCTTATGAGGAGAGGTTAAGGGAACTCAACCTGATGACACTAGAGGATAGGAGTAATAGAGGGGACATGATAACAACGTATAAAATACTAAGAGGCATTGACAAGGTGGAGATAATAGGCGTAGTACGAAATTGTAACAATAGGTAATAGGTATAAACCTCTTAATCTGTCTTACAGGATGTTAATTAAGCTACAGTATGTTACACAATACTGACTCTGCTGTTCCGGTAATCTTGGATAAACATGATGCAAGAAACTCCTGCATTGTCGGATTCAGTTTATAAGGAAACTTCTGAGCAGGTTTGTAGGTGCAGATATGACCTACACACCTGAACGGCTTCAGTATTTAATGGATAAAGCCATTAAATAATGTGCAAACAAATCTGTTGCAGTAAAACTGTCAAAAAAGAAGGTGGGAAGAGTTGGAATCCTTTCCATAACTGGAAATTGACTGATCTGATTGGCTACAAATTCTCACCAATGGCGTTGTTTTCTGAACACAAGTCTCACGCTGCCATTGGCTGGCATGAGTTTTGGAAATAGTTCGGAGGAGGTACGGAATTCCGATACCGTAAATACCGTACTGTACAGTGCAGAAAAGAAAGCGGGAGGGTATGGTACGAACGTACGAGACGATATTTCTGACAGGCATGGCAACTGGAAAAAAAGTAATGTACTCTACCATACTGCCAGCCTTGACGTAGCACCTCCAAGAATAACATGTAAGGTGAGGACCTGGGTGTTAGTGGACTGGTGTGGGTCGCATCCTGGGACAACACTGACCTAATTTGCCCTAAATGCTCAGCATAACAAGCGGCTTTCTGTATAGTAGTATGTCACTGATGTCAGCTATGGTCTGTATACCTTGTACATGTACTGGTAGTAAATAAAGATATAATTATTATTATTATTATTATTATTATTATTATTATTATTATTATTATTATTATTATTATTATTATTATTATTATTATTATTATTATTATTGTGATGAATGGTTTGAAAAACCGACAAGTTGAAGATTGAGACACTTATACAGCATATGGGAATCTTTATTCAGGAAACGTTTCGCCACAGTGTGGCTTCATCAGTCCAATACAAAGAGGAAGGCGTAAGGAGAGGAGGAGAATGAGGTAATCAGTCCCTCAACCTGGAGTCGATGTGTTCAGTCCATCAATCTTGTAGAATGTACAGCATAGGGCCGTAGACGTGGCTTATATACTGTAGTGAGGTGACGTGAAGCAGGTGGAGACGGGGTCATAGTGGTACCATCCACTAGTCGAAGTAGGTCTTCGTCCAAAGGTTGAACAAGTGTTGAAGAATTCTTTGTAACAAGATCCCATGATGCTGCAGTGTCTGACAGTTGTGATGAATGGTTTGAAAAACCGACAAGTTGAAGATTGAGACACTTATACAGCATATGGGAATCTTTATTCAGGAAACGTTTCGCCACACAGTGGCTTCATCAGTCCAATACAAAGAGGAAGGCGTAAGGAGAGGAGGAGAATGAGGTAATCAGTCCCTCAACCTGGAGTCGATGTGTTCAGTCCATCAATCTTGAAGAATGTACAGCATAGGGCCGTAGACGTGCAGCATCATGGGATCTTGTTACAAAGAATTCTTCAACACTTGTTCAACCTTTGGACAAAGACCTACTTCGACTAGTGGATGGTACCACTATGACCCCGTCTCCACCTGCTTCACGTCACCTCACTACAGTATATAAGCCACGTCTAGGGCCCTATGCTGTACATTCTACAAGATTGATGGACTGAACACATCGACTCCAGGTTGAGGGACTGATTACCTCATTCTCCTCCTCTCCTTACGCCTTCCTCTTTGTATTGGACTGATGAAGCCACTGTGTGGCGAAACGTTTCCTGAATAAAGATTCCCATATGCTGTATAAGTGTCTCAATCTTCATTATTATTATTATTATTATTATTATTATTATTATTATTATTATTATTGTTATTATTATTATTATTATCATCATTATTATTATTATTATTATTATTATTATTATTATTATTATTATTATTATTATTATTATCATTATTATTATTATTATTATTATTATTATTATTATTATTATTTATTATTATTATTATTATTATTATTATTATGTAACAGATTACAGGAATACACAATTATACCACTGGTATTTGCACATCACTGAAGTTCGTAGCACTTTTCGAAGATACCCAAGATTTCCTGCAATTAGATGTAGATGTTTTAGCAAAGAGAATTTCTTTCACGTAAAGTAAAAGGACACAAATGCAGCTAATGTGACATTTTATTAAGGCAACGTTTCGCCCTCCAGGAGCTTTATCAAGCCGTTACCAAGCTCCTGGAGAGCGAAACGTTGCCACAATAAAATGTCACATTAGTTGCACATGTGTCCTTTTACTTTACATATTGTCGGTAATTCTACCAACTTTATGACAATTTCGTTCACGCTGTTGATGAGTCAGTTATCTGGGCTGATTCTTAGTTATTGTGAAGTTATTTTCACAGTAAACATGAAATAATGCTGCCAAACAAAGTCGTCTATAAGGGCAAATATTTAATTATTTAATACAAATTACATGCCTGGAGTATATTAAGTGTGTGAGTGCAGGCAGAGTGCATGAAGCGAACGTTTGTAGGAGAGTAAACAAGTGTGTGCGTGCAGGCAGAGTGCATGAAGCGAACGTTTGTAGGAGAGTAAACAAGTGTGTGCGTGCAGGCAGAGTGCATGAAGCGAACGTTTGTAGGAGAGTAAACAAGTGTGTGCGTGCAGGCAGGTGGCAGGTGCTTGGCTCTGTTTACTGGCTGCCTTGCCAGGAAATACTTTCTCTGAAATGTTGATTGTGTATTTACGTCTCAGTGTTGGGAATTACGGGAAAAGAATTAGTACAGATGGTGAAATTCCTGGGTGTACGTGTATAATATTGATAATTCCTGGGTGTACTTGTGTAATGTTGATAATTCCTGGGTGTACTTGTGTAATGTTGATAATTCCTGAGTGTACGTGTATAATATTGATAATTCCTGGGTGTACGTGTATAATATTGATAATTCCTGGGTGTACTTGTGTAATGTTGATAATTCCTGGGTGTACGTGTATAATGTTGATAATTCATGGGTGTACGTGTATAATATTGATAATTCCTGGGTGTACGTGTATAATGTTGATAATTCCTGGGTGTACGTGTATAATATTGATAATTCCTGGGTGTACGTGTATAATATTGATAATTCCTGGGTGTATGTGTATAATGTTGATAATTCCTGGGTGTACTTGTGTAATGTTGATAATTCCTGGGTGTACGTGTATAATATTGATAATTCGTGAGTGTACGTGTATAATATTGATAATTCCTGGGTGTACGTGTATAATATTGATAATTCCTGGGTGTACGTGTATAATATTGATAATTCCTGGGTGTACGTGTATATTGATAATTCCTGGGTGTACGTATATAATATTGATAATTCCTGGGTGTACGTGTATAATATTGATAATTCCTGGGTGTACGTGTATAATATTGATAATTCCTGGGTGTACTTGTGTAATGTTGATAATTCCTGGGTGTACTTGTGTAATGTTGATAATTCCTGGGTGTACTTGTGTAATGTTGATAATTCCTGGGTGTACTTGTGTAATGTTGATAATTCCTGGGTGTACTTGTGTAATGTTGATAATTCCTGGGTGTACTTGTGTAATGTTGATAATTCTTGGGTGTACTTGTGTAATGATGATAATTCCTGGGTGTACTTGTGTAATGTTGATAATTCCTGGGTGTACTTGTGTAATGTTGATAATTCCTGGGTGTACTTGTGTAATGTTGATAATTCTTGGGTGTACTTGGGTAATGTTGATGATCCAACATGAAACTTGTGTTAAATAATTAATTATTATTATTATATGCACAAGGAAATATTTCACTTAAAAAATTGATTTAATTCGTTAACTTGCAAGTTACGAAGCAATAATTACCAGTTACTGTGTCTGCTGTTCGTGGAGGTCAGGTGAATCATGGCAGACACACAAAGCATGGAAGAAACACACATACTATTAAGTTCTAGTTTCGCTCACATGAGGCTTCATTATTCTAAAGACCTTGACGGGAGAAACGTCTCCTTAATAAATCTCCTAATATCGCATATGTGTCTCGTACACCTGTCGGTGTTACCATTTATAACCTCAGATACAAGACACAACTGATGTCCATCCCTGAGCCACTATTGTAATATAATAAAAGTTAGAGCGAAGGAATTGATGGACATTACGAAATACGTGTTGATAAAAACTTCCCATGAATGCCAGTGTTCCTCTGAGACGCTGTTTACGTCAATATTGTTAATAAAACAACGCATCGTCTTGATGTTATTTATATAGATATTTTCATTAAACGTATATCTGCTGTGTACTGAATGTATTCGTGTTGGTTAGAATCAATTAAATGCGATGAGTAATGGAAAGGTGTGTGGAGTTCCTCAGGGTATATGAGACGAAGCAGGTTCTCAGAACACATGAACGGACGGGTGGTAATACCACCAGCGTGTGTGTGTGTGTGTGTGTGTGTGTGAGAGAGTGTGAGAGTGTGTGTGTGTGTGTGTGTGACGTCACCATCGCTTGCAACAAAACTCAGAGGGTGGAGAACAAGTCCCTCAGTCATCGACTAAACTACGTAGTGAGCACGGGATTAACACACGCTAACTGTGATACAAGACACGCTTAAGTGAACACTGGAGGCCAGGCGAGGATGAACAAGTACCTGGAGATGTGTTTGGTGGCGCTGATGGGGATGGGACCCACGGCCATTGTGATCATGCTAGTCAATCACTATGGACCCTTGGCTGTGGCCTGTTCCCTCATCTTCGGTGGTGCCTACCTTACACTCGTGGTGCTGGGACTAACACTCCACAAGTGTGTAACCTCACACAACACTCACGAAGACCATGAACAACACCAGGTGAGAGACACGCCTACCTTGTGTACACACACGCGTACACACACACCTGCTCTCTCTCTCTCTCTCTCTCTCTCTCTCTCTCTCTCTCTCTCTCTCTCTCTCTCTCTCTCTCTCTCTCTCTCTCATGTCTAAACACTATTAAAAATATATCGCGCGTAAGAGATATACTTGGCATAATATATTGAAAGACAATGTACGCCTATGGTTCGTAATCAACTTCTTTACGCTAACAAATTTGTTAGACCGAGAATGGTTTGATGGTTTGTGTGTTTTAAAGGCAGGTAATTACACGATAGTCATTAAGGCTGTATGTCACCAGAACACAAGTCATGGATGTTGTAATCCCTAAAATAAGGATTAAATTTACGTTTAAGACTATACCTACTGAAAAATATATCCCTCATCCAAGTGTATATACATTGCTCCTCTTAGTTTACTGTATACACACCAAGAAAGATATGCATTTTAGGATGTATACAAAATAAATGAAAAAGATATGGGCAGACCTATGGTATCTCCCTTTTTTGTGAAAAATCTCGCCATCAGATGACAGCGAGACAGTAAACAGTATAAGATATATGGAGGCTGAGGGACTAGTCACCTCAAATTACCTTTCCACTTTTTTCTGTTCTCTCCAGTATTGAAATTTCCTCTGTACTTGACTGATGAAGGCTTCTGCCCAGGCGAAATGTTTTGGAAATAATGATACCAAATAATGATAATTGCTAGTATTTATGAAAAAAATAAAAAACTGGAACAATTATTCACGGCCCAACATCATAATAATTACACAAATTATAATAATTATAATAATGGTAATTAGATGTCTTCATCTATCACACATTTTTTTAAATATAATTTTGTAAAATTGATTTAATATTTGATATATATTTAATAATTTATATTAGCCTAATTTACTTTAAATCACGTGTGTAGATAAAGTAAAAAAAAAAAAAACAGCTTTACCCACAATCCTCCACTTTCACGAAATCGTTGTGATACGACTGCCAGCAAACCATACCACGGGTGGGGATAGAACCCGCGGTCAGTCGTGAAACTCCAGTTTTATCGAGTTTTATGTCTCTGATCGCGGGTTCTATCCCTACCCGTGGTATGTTTTTTTTTTTATTCACTCTGACAGTGAGGCTGAGAGTCAAGCTTCTTCACTGACTGCCTGATCAACCAGACTGTTTCTGTTGAAGGCCCGTTGGCCCACATACCACAGAGAGGCTTTGTAATATCTAAAAAAAGACTATTAGCAACGACTTAAAAAAGTCATCTCCATTATATCAATTAAAAATCGTAGATATTTAAGGGCAATGTAGACTGTTGTTTAAGGGCAGTGTAGACTGTTGTTTAAGGGCAGTGTAGACTGTTGTTTAAGGACAGTGTAGACTGTTGTTTAAGGGCAGTGTAGACTGTTGTTTAAGGGCAGTGTAGACTGTTGTTTAAGGGCAGTGTAGACTGTTGTTTAAGGTCAGTGTAGACTGTTGTTTAAGGGCAGTGTGGACTGTTGTTTAAGGACAGTGTAGACTGTTGTTTAAGGACAGTGTAGACTGTTGTTGAAGGACAGTGTAGACTGTTGTTTAAGGACAGTGTAGACTGTTGTTTAAGGGCAGTGTAGACTGTTGTTTAAGGGCAGTGTAGACTGTTGTTTAAGGGCAGTGTAGACTGTTGTTTAAGGGCAGTGTAGACTGTTGTTAAAGGGCAGTGTAGACTATTGTTTAAGGGCAGTGTAGACTGTTGTTTAAGGGCAGTGTAGACTGTTGTTTAAGGGCAGTGTAGACTGTTGTTTAAGGGCAGTGTAGACTTTTATTTTCTTGCAGTTCAACTCTGCTGTGGTGTACTGCACCTCCGACTCTGCTGGAAAAATACCAAAAAAAATAATTAGTATCAAATCCTCTATATTCTGTAACTTTAAACTGTTTGACTGAATTAAAACAAAAATAACCCCATAAGGGTTTAGCGCAAGAGTGGCGGTCACAGTGGAAAAGGACACCTGAGTGCAGATTAGGACAATTATTTAAAAGTACCGTTTGGCTACAAATGGCTTTATCAATCTTAATACTAAGTTAAAACAGGTTAACATATAATAGAAGTAATCTGAGACAAAAGTCAGGTTTATCAAACTGCAGGAAATATGTTGGACTAATATACATTAGCAAGAGAGCTTGTCCAACATGTTTCTCCAACATATTCTCTGCTATTTGTCGAACCTCCCGACTCAGGTCATCTGTATGTGTGTTTGTGTGTGTGTGTGTGTGTGTGTGAGTGTGTGTGGTGTGTGTGTGTGTGTGTGTGTTTGTGTGTGTGTGTGTGTGTGTGAGTGTGTGTGTGTGTGTGTGTGTGTGTGTGTGTGTGTGAGTGTGTGTGTGTGTGTGTGTGTTGTGTGTGTGTGTGTGTGTGTGTGTGGTGTGTGTGTGTGGTGTGTGTGTGTGTGTGTGTGTGTGGTGTGTGTGGTGTGTGTGTGTGTGTGTGTGTGTGTGTGTGTGTGTGTGTGTGTGTGTGTGTGTGTGTGTGTGTGTATGTGTGTGTGTGTGTGTGTGTGTGTGTGTGTTGTGTGTGTGTGTGTGAGTGTGTGTGTGTGTGTGTGTGTGTGTGTGTGTGTGTGTGTGTGTGTGTGTGTGTGTTGTGTGTGTGTGTGTGTGTTTGTGTGTGTGTGTGTGTGTGTAGTGTGTGGTGTGTGTGTGTGTGTGTTGTGTGTGTGTGTGTGTGTGTGGTGTGTGTGTGTGTTGTGTGTGTGTTGTTGTGTTGTGTGTGTGTGTGTGTGTGTGTGTGTGTGTTGTGTGTGTGTGTGTGTGTGTGTGTGAGTGTGTGTGTGTGTGTGTGTGTGTTGTGTGTGTGTTTGTGTGGTGGTGTGTGTGTGTGTGAGTGTGTGTGTTGTTTGTGTTGTGTGTGTGTGTGTGTGTGTGTGTGTGTTTGGTTGTTGTGTGTGTGTGGTGTGGAGTGTGTGTGTGTGTGTGTGTGTGTGTGTGTGTGTGTGTTGTGTGTGTTGTGTGTGGTGGTGTGTGTATGTGTGTGTGTGTGTGTGTGTGTGTGTGTGTGTGTGTGTGTGTCTGTGTGTGTAGTGTGTTTTGAGTGTGTGTGTGTGTGTGTGTGTGTGTGTGTGTGTGTGTGTGTGTGGGGTGTGTGTGTATGTGTGTGTGTGTGTTGTGTATGTGTGTGTGTGTGTGTGTGTGTCTGTGTGTGTATGTGTGTGAGTGTGTGTGTGTGTGTGTCTGTGTGTGTATGTGTTGTGTGTGTGTGTGTGTGTTGTGTGTGGAGTGTGTGTGTGTGACTCACCTATTTGTACTCACCTATTTGTGGTTGCAGGGGTCGAGTCCTAGCTCCTGGCCCCCGCCTCTTCACCGGTTGCTACTAGGCCCTCTCTCTCCCCGCTCCATGAGCTTTATCAAACCTCGTCTTAAAACTGTGTATGGTTCCTGCCTCCACTACGTCATTTTCTAGGCTATTCCACTGCCTTACAACTCTATGACTGAAGAAATACTTCCTACTATCTCTCTGACTCATTTGTGTCTTCAACTTCCAATTGTGGCCTCTTGTTTCTGTGTCCCCTCCCTGGAACATCCTGTCTTTGTCCACCTTGTCTATTCCACGCAGTATTTTATATGTCGTTATCATGTCTCCCCTGACCCTCCTGTCCTCCAGTGTCGTCAGGCCGATTTCCCTTAATCTTTCCTCATAGGACATTCCCCTTAGCTCTGGAACTAACCTTTTCGCAAACATTTGTGCTTTCTCTAGTTTCTTGACGTGCTTTATCAAGTGCGGGTTCCAAACAGGTGCTGCATACTCCAGTATGGGCCTGACATACACGGTGTACAGTGTCTTGAATGATTCCTTACTAAGGTATCGGAATGCTGTTCTCAGGTTTGCCAGGCGCCCATATGCTGCAGCAGTTATCTGATTGATGTGTGCTTCCGGAGACATGCTCGGTGTTATACTCACCCCAAGATCTTTCTCCTTGAGTGAGGTTTGCAGTCTTTGGCCACCTAGCCTATACTCTGTCTGTGGTCTTCTGTGCCCCTCCCCCATCTTCATGACTTTGCATTTGGCAGGATTAAATTCGAGAAGCAATTTGCTGGACCAGGTGTCCAGTCTGTCCAGGTCTCTTTGAAGTCCTGCCTGGTCCTCATCAGATTTAATTCTCCTCATTAACTTCACATCATCTGCAAACGGGGACACTTCTGAGTCTAACCCTTCCGTCATGTCGTTCACATTATACCAAAAATAGCACTGGTCCTAGGACCGACCCTGTGGGACCCCGCTCGTCACAGGTGCCCACTGTGATACATCATTACGTACCATGACTCGTTGTTGCCTCCCTGTCAGGTATTCTCTGATCCATTGCAGTGCCCTTCCTGTTATATGCGCCTGATGCTCTAGCTTCTGCACTAATCTCTTGTGAGGAACTGTGTCAAAGGCCTTCTTGCAGTCCAAGAAGATGCAATCAACCCACCCCTCTCTCTCTTGTCTTACTTCTGTTATTTTATCATAAAACTCCAGAAGGTTTGTGACACAGGATTTGCTTTCCGTGAATCCGTGCTGGTTGGCATTTATACTCCTGTTCCGTTCCAGGTGCTCCACCACTCTCCTCCTGATAATCTTCTCCATAATTTTGCATACTATACACGTCAATGACACAGGTCTATAGTTTAGTGCTCTTTTCTGTCTCCTTTTTTAAAAATGGGAACTACATTTGCCGTCTTCCATACCTCAGGTAGTTGCCCAGTTTCCAGGGATGTGTTGAAGATTGTGGTAAGTGGCACGCACAAATATCTGCTCCCTCTCTAAGGACCCACGGGGAGATGTTGTCTGGTCCCATTGCCTTTGAGGTATCGATGTCCCTTAGCAGTTTCTTCACCTCCTCCTCATCTGTATGTATGTCGTCCAACACTTGTTGGTGTATTCCTTGCTGGTGTCCCCATCTGGTCTGTCCCCCAGAGTCCTTCCTGTCTCTACTGTAAATACTTCCTTAAATCTCGTGTTGAGCTCCTCACATACCTATTGATCGTTTCTTGTGAGTTCTCCACCTTCTTTCCTCAGCCTTATCACCTGGTCCTTGACTGTTGTCTTCCTCCTAATGTGGCTATACAGCAGTTTCGGGTCAGATTTGACTTTCGATGCTATGTCGTTTTCATACTGTCGCTGGGCCTCCCTCCTTATCTGTGCATACTCGTTTCTGGCTCTTCTACTAATCTCCTTGTTTTCCTGGGTCCTATGCCTCCTGTACCTTTTCCATTCCCTGATCCATCGGGAGGCCTGGTCGTGGACCGGGCCGCGGGGGCGTTGATCCCCGGAATAACCTCCAGGTAACCTCCAGGTAACACCTTCGGGTAAACCAAGGACTCGTTTTGGTCTTCCTATTATTTCCGTTTCCCTTGGGAACAAAACTTTCCTCTGCCTCCTTGCACTTTGTTGCCACATATTCCATCATCTCGTTTACTGATTTTCCTACCATTTCTCTGTCCCACTGAACCTCCTGCAGGAAGTTTCTCATACCTGTGTAGTCCCCCCTTTTATAGTTTGGCCTTTCCCCTTCAGTTCCTTATACTATATAGTCAAAACTCAGAACCACATGATCGCTAGCTCCAAGGGGCCTCTCATAAGTGATGTCCTCAATGTCTGAACTGCTCAGGGTGAACACAAGATCCAGTCTTGCTGGCTCATCCTCCCCTCTCTCTCTGGTTGTGTCCCTGACATGTTGATGCATGAGGTTTTCAAGTACCACATCCATCATCTTGGCTCTCCATGTTTCGGGACCCCCATGTGGCTCCAGGTTTTCCCAGTCGATCTCCCTGTGGTTGAAATCGCCCATTACCAGTAACTTTGCTCTGCTCGAGTGAGCTCTTGCCACCTCAGCCAGTGTGTCCACCATCACCCTGTTGTATACTTCATACTCCTCTCTTGGCCTCCTGCAGTTCTGTGGTGGGTTATACATCACTCCAATGACTACTTTATGTTCTCCGGACTGAATTGTACCTACAATGTAGTCTCTTTCTCCAATCATGTCCATGTCTTCCATTTCCTCAAATCCCCATCGGTGTTTTATGAGCAGTGCAACCCCTCCTCCCCCTCTACTCCTTCTATCTTTCCTCAGGATCTGATATCCTGTTGGGAAGATTGTGTCTGTTATTGTCTCAGCGAGTTTTGTTTCTGTGACTGCTATGATGTCTGGGGATTTGTCACTGATTCTTTCATTCCACTCCTCATGTTTATTCATTATTCCATCCGCGTTTGTGTACCAAGCCTTTAGTTTCTTTTCTATCATTGTGGTCATGCAAGAATATTGGGGTTGGGGGAGCGAGAGCCTTTGTGGGGGCCTATATGGGGCTGTGGTGTAGGTGGGGTTTGTGTTGATGGGGGTGGGGTCAGAATGCCCATAAGGGACAGCTGTTGGGGTGAGGTTTGTGATATGGGGATTGGTGGCAGAGGGAACAGTGAGTGGGTTGTAGTATAGGTTGCTCAGTTGCGTTGGGAATGTCGCGGGTGGAGTTCTTTTGGTGGGAGATTCTGTGGGGTGTGTTTGCCCTTCCTCCTGTGTCTGGGTCCTGCTCATTTTCATTGCTTCTCGTTCCTCCTTGCGTCTCTGTACCCTCTCTTTCAGTGTAGTCCTTTCTTCTTGTGTTCTGTCGCGGTCGAGGTATACTCTCTGGTGCCCCTCTTTGTCCCTCAGTCTTGCTTTCTCTTGCAGAATCCTGGTTCGAACTGTTTCTTCCTTGAAAGTTACTCTGACAGGCCGTATCCTTCCACTCGCAAACCACCCAATTCTCTGAAAATTTGTCACCTGGGTCATATTGCCCTCCCCTATTGTTTTCATGATGCCTTCAATCATTTTTTTCTCCTCCTGTTTTATTTCTTCAAAGTTGGCCCCCTTGGCTTCTTGGAGCCGTACACAAAAACTGACCTCGCCCTTTCCTCCTCCCACTGAGTCTCCATCTGCTTCCTCTGAGGCATTTTATTTCCTTCCATTGACATGTTCTTGCCTTCAGTCCCTGTCATATCTGAAACTTCTATTCTCAGTGGACTGTCTTTCCTGACCAGCTGTCCCTTGCTACTGCAGTTGGCTGTTAGAATCTCTGCATATAGCATACCTTCATTGTTTTCGGACCTGTCGTTTGATCTTAGTGTGCTCGTCGTCTTTTCCCTGGCCCCACGTGGGTCTGATAGGGCCTTCATGCTCGGCATGTCTCCGTTGTTGCTTACCATCCCCTTGTCTGCGCCTGACTTTGAATTTCCTGATGTCACACCTGAATTGTCATTTGTCTCTCTAATCTGTTTCAGGCTTTGCAGTTTCTCTTCTAAGCACTGTATCCTAGCTTCTGCTGCTAAGACCTGTACTTCCCACTTCCTGCACTCTTCAGCTATCCGCTCTTCCATTTTCTTACCAAGCTCTACTATCTTCCTTCCCCACTCTTCCTCCCTTTTTTGGAGCTCTAGCTCCCAGTCTTTCCTCCCTGGTTCGTCCACCAGATCTCTGGGTTTCCGTCCTCTAAGGCGGTGTGTGTGTGTGAGTGTGTGTGTGTGTGTGTGTGTGTGTGTGTGTGTGTACATATATGTCCTGAACTGTAGACAAGAGTTCTATCCACAGTTTGTCGATATCATCAGAATATATCAACTAGTGGTGGTCACAAGATATACTTTTGTACCTTGATAAGCATATTTCTCTCAGCGCATATATGCTCGGAGTTTAATTTCTTATTTTAAGGAATAAAGTAAACTGGTGGTGGAAAGATTATCCTGAAGGCTTATTGACCCTAGTGTAGCCGGTAGGTTTAAAACCTTATTAATTAACCAACCAAAACTGGAGACTTGTTCCTCCATCCTCAAACACAGCCTCCGTCTCTGATCAGTCAAGATGTCAACATCTCAACTAACCTCACATGATGCTGCGGGTTAGTAAACACATCATTCTTACTCCACCACAACAAACTTGGCTCAAATTCAAGAAAACAGTATTTTTTTTATTAATTCGTCATCCACTTCCCACCAAAGCAGTAAAATATTCTTAAATAATTAATTCTGCACCAACCTGACACAACACGCTAACCCACCCTTGTTATTATTTACCAGTTATAAATTAAACCTATTTGCTAACTAATTTTTGGTTTGGATTATATGTTGGGTTTATAAAGGCAATCGACTGCACGAGGGTTACACCGAGCGGTTATTAAGGCAACAATGTCCTCGAGTTTTACGATTCACTCGCCATGGGTTCAAACCCTAATCGTTCCCGGACTTGTCAGTTCACTTTTACATCACCAAACATAATGATGATAATGATGATGATGATAATAATAATAATAATAATAATAATAATAATAATAATAATAATAATAATAATAATAATAATAATAATAATAATAATAATAATGATAATAATAATAATAATATTAATATTTAATAATAATAATAATAATAATAATAATAAACAATAATAATAACAATAATAATAATATTATAATAATAATAATAATAATTATAATATTATTATTATTATTATTATTAATATTAATAATAATAATAATAATAATAATAATAATAATAATAATAATAATAATATTTAATAAATAATAATAATAATAATAATAATAATAATAATAATAATAATAATAATAATAATAATAATAATAATAATAATATTTATTTACTACCAGTACATGTACAAGGTATACAGACCATAAGTGACATCAGCAACATACTACTATATAGAAAGCCGCTTGTTATGCTGAGCATTTCCCGCAAATTAGGTCAGTTTTGTCCCAGGATGCGACCCACACCAGTCCACTAACACCCAGGATGCGACCCACACCAGTCTACTAACACCCAGGTATAGTAGGTATCTTAAGGAAACACGTTCTACTGTTTCCAACCGTACCGGGGATCGACCCGCGGACCTCAGCGTGTGAACCGAGTGTGTTAGGAATCGAGCTAAGGAGCTTAAAAATTTGATATTGGAACTAAAACAAACTTTAAGTGTAGGCAGACCTGAGGGTATGTTTAACTTCTAATTGTATACACAGTGTGAGAGACACGCACGTCTCAGTGAGTGAGAAATATACACAGTGAGAGACATACGTCTTAGTGAGTGAGAAATATACACAGTGAGAGAGACACGCACGTCTCAGTGAGTGAGAAATATACACAGTGAGAGAGACACGCACGTCTCAGTGAGTGAGAAATATACACAGTGAGAGAGAGACATACGTCTCAGTGAGTGAGAAATATACACAGTGAGAGAGACACGCACGTCTCAGTGAGTGAGAAATATACACAGTGAGAGAGAGACACGCACGTCTCAGTGAGTGAGAAATATACACAGTGAGAGAGACTTACGTCTCAGTGAGTGAGAAATATACACAGTGAGAGAGAGACATACGTCTCAGTGAGTGAGAAATATACACAGTGAGAGAGAGACATACGTCTCAGTGAGAGAGAAATATACACAGTGAGAGAGAGACACGCACGTCTCAGTGAGTGAGAAATATACACAGTGAGAGAGACACGCACGTCTCAGTGAGTGAGATATACAAAGTGAGAGAGACTTACGTCTCAGGGTGTGAGAAATATACACAGAGAGAGAGAGACACACACACACAC